CTCTTCTCTCTTCTCTCTTCTCTCTTCTCTCTTCTCTCTTCTCCTCTCTTCTCTCTCCTCTCTCGTCTCTCTTCTCTCTTCTCTCTTCTCCTCTCCTCTCTTCTCTTCTCTTCTCTTCTCCTCTCCTCTCCTCTCCTCTCCTCTCTTCTTCTCTTCTCTTCCCTTCCCTTCCCTTCCCTTCTCTTCTCTTCTCTTACTGTTCCCACCTCTGTTTTTCGTCTGTCCGTATTGTTGGAGGATTGGCTTCTAAACTTCCTTCGACAACTACACCACATTACACTACACTACGCTAATTGCACTACACCACACTACACGACAACATGCTGCACTACACTAACTGCAACGACAACTACACGACTTGTCACTACACTACCTATAGACTACACTACAGCACACAACACTACAGCACACTACGCTACACTACATTGCATTACGCTAAACTCCTTTCACCACACCACAACTACAACTGCAACTACACTACGCTAATTACACTACACTACAGCTACAACTCCACTACGCTACAACTACAACTACAGCTGCGCTACACCACACTACATCCAGCAGTTGTGGGTGAGGTGAACACTGCAACCATTGCTGCAAAGGGCGACTGACCTACAACCACCTATCTAAGGGGCTATAGGAAACAGCGCAGACCCTTTTACACTCACGAGCCAGAAAGCTCAAGGCCTGTCGGCCGGTCCGAAGGCCAATGTGGCATTTCACACTGATCCTTGTTTAGTTGGCCGAAGGACCGGACCCGGAAAAGAAGGTTACAAGTCGGCTGCGCCGACGTCCCAGCTGCTCTTGGTGGTTGGGGAGATCTCTTACTCTTCCAGAATCCTCCACTGTACAGATCCTTGACCCTTCCAGCCAGCTACCGTTGTACGGTATGGAAAATCCCGGAGTGTGAACCTCGGGGCAGGGCTGCGGTACGATTTCGCACCATGTGCCACGCTCACACTGATCCCATCGATGAAGTGCCAGCCCGGCTGCTCAGCAATGAGGTACACATATACTTCAGCAGCGCTTCATCTCGTCCATCAGGCACTCGTCCAGGGAGCTCCGTCAGGTTCTCCTCCTCATAGTTGGCCTTGCCTTTCTTGGTCTGTTTGGTGAATCCCTCCTTGTACTCAATGGACCACTCACCTCTCAGCGGCACCAGTCGCAGCTGCTCATTGTCCATCATCTTCGTCCCAGCATCGACGAAGCAGTTGGCAGCTGCGGTCCATGTGTAGCTTGTCCTTGGCCTCTGAAGCTGTTGTCGAAGAGCCGACACAGTGAAAGCCAGGGATTTTTGAACACCAAAGCCCGTGTCAATGGTCAGGCGGTCATAGACATCCTTCGTGTCAGTCCTTCACAAAATGGATTCTGTGAAGGGAGCTGCCTTCACAAAAGAGATTCTGTGAAAGGAACTACCTGCCTTCACAAAATGGGTTCTGTGAAGGGAGCTGCCTTCACAAAATGGATTCTGTGAATACCTTCACAAAAGGGATTCTGTGAAGGGAGCTGCCTTCACAAAAGGGATTCTGTGAAGGGAGCTGCCTTCACAAAATAAAATCTGTGAAGGGAGCTGCCTTCACAAAAGGGATTCTGTGAAGGGAGCTGCCTTCACAAAATGGATTCTGTGAAGGGAGCCGCCTTCACAAAATGGATTCTGTGAAGGGAGCTGCCTTCACAAAAGGGATTCTGTGAAGGGAGCTGCCTTCACAAAAGGGATTCTGTGAAGGGCTGCCTTCACAAAAGGGATTCTGTGAAGGGACCGCCTTCACAAAAGGGATTCTGTGAAGGGAGCTGCCTTCGCAAATGGATTGTGTGAAGGGAGCTGCCTTCACAAAAGGGATTCTGTGAAGGGAGCTGCCTTCACAAAAGGGATTCTGTGAAGGGAGCTGCCTTCACAAAAGGAATTCTGTGAAGAGATCTGCCTTCACAAAAGGGATTCTATGAAGGGAACTGCCTTCACAAAAGGGATTCTGTGAAGGGGGCTGCCTTCAAAAAAAAGATTCTGTGAAGGGAGCTGCCTTCACACAATGGATTCTGTGAAGGGAGCTGCCTTCACAAAAGGGATTCTGTGAAGGGAGCTGCCTTCACAAAATGGCTTCTGTGAAGGGAGCTGCCTTCACAAAAGGGATTCTGTGAAGGGAGCCGCCTTCACAAAATGGATTCTGTGACGGGAGCTGCCTTCACAAAATTGATTCTGTGAAGGGAGCTGCCTTCACACAAAGGGGTTCTGTGAAGGGAACTGCATTCACAAAAGGGTTTCTACGAAGGGAGCCGCCTTCACAAAAGGGATTCTGTGAAGGGAGCTGCCTTCACAAAAGGGTTTCTACGAAGGGAGCCGCCTTCACAAAAGGGATTCTGTGAAGGGAGCTAGCTGCCTTCACAAATGGATTCTGTGAAGGGAGCTGCCTTCACAAAATGGATTCTGTGAAGGGGGCTGCCTTCACAAAATGGATTCTGTGAAGGGAACTGCCTTCACAAAATGGATTCTGTGAAGGGGGTTCACAAAAGAGATTCTGTGAAGGGAGCTGCCTTCACAAAAGGGATTCTGTGAAGAGAGCTGCCTTCACAAAATGGATTCTGTGAAGGGAGCTTCCTTCAAAAAAGAGATTCTGTGAAGGGAGCTGCCTTCACAATATGGATTCTGTGAAGGAAGCTACCTTCACAAAAGGGATTCTGTGAAGGGAGCTGCCTTCACAAAATGGATTCTGTGAAGAGATCTGCGTTGACAAGAGGGATTCTGTGAAGGGAGCTGCCTTCACAAAAGAGATTCTGTGAAGGGGGCTGCCTTCACAAAAGGGATTCTGTGAAGGGAGCTGCCTTCACAAAAGGGGTTCTGTGAAGGGAGCTGCCTTCACAAAAGGGGTTCTGTGAAGGGAGCTGCCTTCACAAAATGGATTCTGTGAAGAGGGCTGCCTTCACAAAAGGGATTCTGTGAAGGGCGCTGCCTTCACAAAATGGATTCTGTGAAGGGAGCTGCCTTCACAAAAGGGATTCTGTGAAGGGAGCTGCCTTCACAAAATTGATTCTGTGAAGGGAGCTGCCTTCACACAAAGGATTCTGTGAAGGGAACTGCATTCACAAAAGGGCTTCTGTGAAGGGAGCCACCTTCACAAAAG